ACTCGAAAACGAAAAATGGTAGGCGTGATTTTGTCATTACAGTTCCTTTTGCAGGAACAGAGAGCATCTTGAAATGTTTTTTTCTCAATAATTTTACCCATCTTTGTAACGTATCGTTGCCCAAAATTTCGTGCTTGCTTCGCAATGTTTTGTTTGTGTAGGGAAGGATTTCGAATTCTTTTCCTACTTTTAGTTTTATTAGAATGTTCCATTTTTGTCGTTTCCTCTTCGTCTTCCGAACTAGACGAATAGGGTACAATCCTTAATGAAAGAAAAGTATTAACACCGTTGTTAGGCATCTGTCAATAATTGTAGAAATATCACTGAAAATTGTTGTGAGTAATTAACATAATATTTGCGTAACAATGTTTGACTTATGTCGTTGTCATTCTCAACAAATGTCAAGTATTGTAACAAAATGAATATTCGTGTTGCTCATAGAGGTAAATTTCGACACAAATTGACTAAAGCGCATTTCATTCTAAATAAAACTATACCTAAGGATTGTAAATACGGACTTAACTCAATTTTTAAAATTTTATGACTTATGCCACTTTCATTCTCACCGGCTCATATGTATATTCATTTTAACTTTTTATAAACAATAATTCCATTGCCATGGTAAAGCTACATTTGGTGATAAAAAATAATTAGCTAAATAGTTTCGGAGATTTTGAGGTGAGGAAGTTTCATTGATATTTATATTTTCAATATCTGGCAAGTTTCTCGGATTTTGCGGATTCTTTTGTATTACAGGAACTGCGTATAATGTGCCATCTTTTTTTCTAATGAAATTGTGTAAAACGCATGCACATTGTATTATTGATATATATTCTATTCTATAGGTGTTAAAAAATTTTAAATTTTTGGGTCATCATTCCAAAAGCACATTCTATTGTTTTTCTTCCACGACTATGTCTAATTGAAAATTCGCATTTTATTGTTAATATTTCTTTCCGGGTATGGTCTCATAATATTTTGTCTCAAAGGAAATGCGTTATGAGCTGCAAAATAATATGGAACTTATTCCCACTTTCGTCGTTTGGAAGTTTTGTTGAAGATGGCAAAGTATTATTGTTCTCCAACCAACGACCAAATGTGGAAACCCGAAAGATGCCTCCATCACTATTTCGGCTAGCATATCCGCATTCTATTGTTGTGAACAGACCTTCAGCAACAGCCAAACAAAACAACAGAATGATAATTTTTATAATTAACGTTGGTGGATCCGGAAATTGGATATTTCTGAATGCGGATATGTTTACCATTAATTGCTCCTAAACAGTTTGGTAACTGCCATAACTCAGAAAATCTACTTGCTATTTGTTTCCATTTTTCTGTATTAGGTAACGACATATATGGCTCCTTCAACACATTCCATATCGCTTTTGTAGTTTGTTCTACAATACTTCCCACGGTACGTTCATCTCTTTGAAAATATAAAGATAGAGCAGTAATTGTACATCCAGTAGTTAAAACAAAAAAATAGTTGTATATATTATATGAAAAGCACGCTACATTTGCTTATAAACACGTGAAGTTTTTATAGCGGCAGATTGTAAAGACAAATGGAAAAACATTCAGCATTTAGAAAAACCCGGAAACATTTCGTTGGAAGAAAGTTAAATAGTGACAGAGACCGACGAAGACAATCCTGAACCTCAGTTAAGTAATACTAATACTATATATATAATATAGTAATAGTAATACTATACTTCTAGCAATACACTTGTATTGCTAGAACAACTGTTAACGCAGCAAGAGCAATCCATCTCCCTCGCCGATTAGTATTGCGTCGTCTTCAGCTTCCAGTATTTATATTGTGATTATCCATGTTGCAAGGTAATTAAATTTAATGAAAAACAAAATAAGTAACCTCTTACTTGCAAATTTATTAGATTTACTTCGATACTAGTTTCGAGGTGTTACCTCATCTTCAGTCGAAAACTACAAAATTTATTTAAGATTAGAAAAATGAAAATTTTTCATAAATTTTTCTAGTATCGAAGTAAATCTAATAAATTTGCAAGTAAGAGGTTACTTATTTTGTTTTCCAGTATTTATGACACCACGGCTGAATACACAATTCATAATTTGGAAAGTTTACCTGCTTGTAGTAGTAATATAAATGACCAAAATAATTTTCTTTAAAAATTAAATATATAACTTGTATTATTGTTTTTATACTTACCTTAGCGTTATCAAAATTCTCTCTTCTGCATTAACACATTCACGCATGTTAGTATATTATTTTTGAATGGTGGGACCTACAATTAACACAAGTTCTTTAACCCTTTGTGTCCCGACGGTACTTTAAAGTACCAGTAGTTTTAAACACTCATTTTAAATCATTTTAAAAAGCATTAAGCTTTAATTTAAAATAAGTATCATTCCTGAATTACAATAAACACGGCTTCCAGGAATTTTTAAATTAGCATCTTTTTTGACACTTTTAGGTTATACGAAAATGTAAGTTTTGTTTCAACTTTTTTTTTCTCAATATTTTTCCAATCCAACCCAACAATTATTACACATCATTTTAAAGAGAAAGCTTTGAGCTTTAATTTAGAATAAGTTTCATTCTTGTATTCACATAAGATTCATTTCTTAATTTCAATAAACACGGCTTCTAGGAATTTTTGAATTACCGTCTTTTTTGACACTGTTAGTTTTGACAAATGTTAGTTTTTGCTCAATATGTTTTTTCTCAATATTCTATCAGATTTTCGTGGTTCTGTAGCTACAGGTCTGATAAATAAATATTCAAATGTATTGCGTCCACGAAAATGTCGTAGCGCAAGTTCAAAAGAAAGAGGAAGTGCAATGTTTATTTATGTTGTAATGAAAGAAAGAACTGTTTTTCTGAATATCATAATGTGATTTAGCTAAAGCAAGTGTTACTTATTTTCTAACGTAATAAAAAATGTATTATTTTTATATTGGCAATAAAAGTTTTTGTTTACTGCAACATCACTGCAATGGAGGGATTGCATATTTTGCTAAAATTGATTCCAAAAGCCTTTACCGAGTGTATTTTGACAGCGTTTTAATTCTGTCACAAAGTTTCAAAATTTTTGACTTCTTGGGACACAAAGGGTTCAATGTATTTTTAGACATTCTGTAGAAGCTTTGAAATGTAGAGTCGTCTACTAATAGCTCTTTGGCAACAATAGAAATAGTCTCTTGTCGATATTTTTGCGAATATAAGGATGCACCCAAAATTTTCTTATATTGCTGTTTTCTCTTACGAGAACGAAGATAATTTAACAAAAGTAGATCCTCTTCATCACTTGACATATTGGCTAGTACTGAATAAAATACGTTTTAAGATCGGTTCGTTTGCAGATCTTTAGGCGAGTGCGGGAAGTTAGTCCCCCATTTCTTGATTTTGAAATTTTTTATTGTTGTTCTAGATTGTTCTAGAGTTGTTCTACATTGTTCCAAAGCGGCAAATCGAAAAAATAAAAACTCCGCGAGAAAACCGAAAAAACAGGTTTTCTGACTAGCCCCCCATTTTTGGAAAAATCAAATTTTGTTTGTTGTTCTGGGTTGTTCTAGTTATTGTTCTAGAAAATCAAAATTATGGGTTACAGCATTACGAAATTATAACTAAAAATAGGTTTGGCCGCCGAAATGTCTAGTTGATTGCTGTGACCATAGTTTTTCTATTATCAATTCCATATTACAAATACACCTATACCCCGATTTACACGATAGATACGTTCTTGAGAAAAACGTGTAAATCAAAATTAAAAATTTTCAAGTCAAAACCGTGTAATCGAAAAGCTTGCAGAAAATGCATAATTTTGCTATTTAACAGTAGTGATTTTTTTCAATATTTTTAGGTGTACACAGAAATAAAAATAAAATGCATTGACAGGTTAAAATATGTAATATATTTTAAGTCAGCACATAAGCTCGGGATTCCCCGTGAGATGTGTACACAGCGCACGTGTTCGATCACAGTAGCATTTAGTAGAGTGCGATAAAAAGAAAAAAGAAACTTATTTGGAAAACCGTGTAAAAGCGAAAACGTGTAAAACAAGTACCGTGTAAATCGGGGGATAGGTGTATTTCAAAATTCAAATATGGGACAAAGTCTCAGAGAAGGTAACTTTAATATGCCCCCACCAAAATCGCTACCTGATGGAAATAATTTACCACACGTTATCGTGGGAGACGAAGCGTTCCCACTGTGCACATACTTAATGAGGCCGTATTCACGAGATGATGTAAAAGGAAATGAAGAAAAGAAGATTTTTAACTATCGATTAAGCCGCGCAAGAAACACGGTAGAAAATGCTTTTGGATTATTAGTAAGAAAATTTAAATTATTTGAACATAAACTAGATATGCCTGCAACAACTATCCTAGCAATATGTGCTTTACATAATTTTTTAAGAGAAGACATATGTTACTTGTCGAAAAATGATCATGTAAGGCTGAGTGACATGTGTGGATTAAAGAACATGAGGGGAGCTAGAGAAAACATAAGGACCATGGCTTTAGCAGTCAGAAATACATTCAAGGATTATTTTTGTTCAGAAGTTGGATCAGTGGAATGGCAGCGTCGAAGAGTTCGAGAAGGAAAATTACATTGATATACAGAGAAGCCAGAAAACTACCGACGAATGTCGCGTTATTACGATCTTGACTTTCTATGTGAAATAAGATTAGATGTAAATACAAAAATAAAAAAGTTTATAACTAAAATAACATTAGTTTATCATATACAATCGCATACTCAAATTCTGTTCCCGTCAGAAACAAGATGGTGAACTAAAACCTACTACCGTTTACAGTTAATAAACGAACGTACCAGGTAATTTCATAATGTTGCCAATCTCCTCCCAAATATTATCTCGTCGCTGTTGATTACTATAATTATGATGTTTCAAATTATATAATTCCTCATAATTTTGTACAAGAGAAATAAGGGTACTTTTCATCTTGATAAAGTCAACTTACGTTGAAGTTGACTTACTTGACGTTATCAGAATCGCTCTGTACGCATCGAACGTAGTGATTCTGATGACGTCATACGCATTCATATATTGAATTCGTACATCCACAGCATTTTATTAAAATGCGGCTGTATGGTGCTGATAGGTGTGCGGTACTACATAAGATATCATATAAAAAATTCTAAAATTCGTTTCGTGCGTCGCGTGCGACTATGTGTGCGTTCACCTTAAAACGAACAATGCCCATTCTGAGGCAAAAAACAATAAGTGATTATTTTCAAAAAAATAATGTTTGTTATCATCAGGGCACGGAACTTTTGTAACAAAACGATACGATTTCCCCCTCCACTCGTTCTCAGAAAATCTTGATTAAAAGAACAGCATACTGTTCAGTGGGAAATAAAAATTTCAAGTTAGAAAAAAATTGTGTTAACAAAAATTGTTCCTGAAACAATTCTAAACAAACTTTGTCAACAATTTTTTTTGATTTAATCAATAATTAAGGAGATAACCTCAAAATAATAATTTTTCCGTTTTTATACAAAATTATACTTAGATGCTTAATTAATAGAGATGTAAAAATTTTTTATTAAGATAATTGATTCAAAATCGAAATTGAAACAAATTTTATTTAAAACATTTTTTAATAAAAGCAATAATTGTTGAGATAATTAATTTTGATAGCATACTATTCAGAGGGAAATTAAAATTTTAAGTTAGCAAAAAATTGTATTAACAAGGACTGTTCCTGAAGTAATTCTAAACAAATATTGTTAATAAAAATTTTTGATTTGATCAATAATTAAGAACATAATCTCAAAAAAATTTTGATATATTTTTTTTATTGAGAAAATAGTTTTAGAATTTTATTTAGTGTACAACTTTTGTATGAAATTTTCTGCTGAGAGCGAGTGGAGGGGGGAAATCGTATCGTTTTGTTACAAAAGTTCCGTGCCCTAGTTATCATATAACGTACTTATTATATTAAACTTATTACACAGTCGATGCTAATATATTTACGTAAACCTACCTCTAGAGCCTACCCATTATCGCTACCAATTCGTTATATCGAAATTACGAACACCTCATTATAACGAACGGCTTGCTTTCCTCCCTGCATGTTCGCTATATCGAAGGTTTACTGTATTCATGAAATAATCAGCAGTTATCAAGAATGCAATCATGTGTTTTGATAAAATGATGAGAGGGTGAGATATATCTTTATTGCCGTTCTACACTGAACTGATGGCATATGGAACTGAGATTTCAGTTGGAAACAAGGACGCACCACTAAGTTGCGACATAACTTTCTAAATCCTCTAACTGTTTCAATAACCCAGAACATGAGAATACAACAGGAATAACTAACTAAAACTTTAAAGAAATGTATATTTTTAACATGTAAGATCTAAAAACGAAAAGTCTACAATTTGAATTTAAAAATCGTTTTATTTATTTGTACACTACGCCATGAATACAATAAAGAAAATAAAGAAAAAGATTAAAACCCCAAATATTTTTATCATTAACCAACGATTAGAAGTGACCGACTGAAAATATTTTAATATTTGCGCGTGGGCCGCTTCTATATTTAATTCAGCGTCTTGAACATTGGTGTCGATTCGTTCCACCATTTCCTCTTGCTCTTTAACCATATGTGCCAATTGTTGAAAAATTCCTCCTAATTCCACTATCGTCGACTCGATATTTTGCATAGTTTCAGCTCTATTTTGCAAATAATTATCAGTTTCATCTCGTATCAAAGCAGCCTGCATGTGATTCTTTGGAATTAAAGCCGAACTCTCCAAATTAATCATCGTTGATTCTTGATCTTGCATTAAGGCACTATCTAAAAAAAGAAAACAAAAAATTAAATAATTAAATAATTTTTTCTGATTATTTACTTGGATTTTGCGCACTAAATGAAGGTGGTAATCCGCTAGAAACCCCACTTTGCGAAAACTGATCCCTTCGATTCTTTTGATGTCTCAAATTCTCCGTGCGCACTTCAAGAATTTGCTTAAAATCAGTTGACATTGTAGCCAATTTTGATTGCAAAGCCAAAACGACGCTACTTGAATGAGATTGCAAATGTTTTCCATTTGTTGTACTTCTTTGTTTCTTTGAAACCTCTTGTAATTGAGCTATTTGTTGATTTAAACTGTTCAAATCCCCTTTTATTATATAAGTAAGCTCCTGAATTTCTGATGTACGATCATCAAAAAGCGAACGCTTTTTTGCCACTAAAAATTAAAACTTTACTTAGTTTTAGTTTTGTTTTGAATATTACAAACTTACACAATGTTAACTTTTCCAATTTAGTATAACTACTAGAAATATTTCTTCCAATATTTTTAGCGATCAACATAAACTCAGTGTGACTTTGAATAATTCTGGATTTTCTGGCATCTTTAACGCTAACAGCCCTGGCTATATTTCTTCCTTGTAACGACTGAATAGTGTTTATAAATTCACTGGTACGGTCACGTGCCGTCATAACTACTTCTGGTTCAATAAAATCGTCAATGAATTCTTCTACATAATACCGTTGTGAAACATCCCTGTTACTGGTATCTTTGGGAAGCCAAGAATTAGATTCCACCACTATAAACGGTTCTGATTCGGAACCGGCGCGTCGTCTCCTAGCTTGCATGGCATTCTATCCAGAAATTCACCTTTGAAGCCCTCTTATTAAATACACCATTAAATCGTCATCAATATGTGGTGTTAATTGCAACACTATTTTAATTATTTCTTTAAGAATTGATAAGGTTTTTTATGACACGAGACTGTTGGTACAACACTAATCACCAATTATTTCAAAATAACATGAGTTTAAATTAAATTATTAACGATTTAGGGTTTTTAGGAGAGTATTAAAAGTAACATCCGTACACGTCAAGAACTGTCATTAAAAATTAAGCGACATCTAGAAATAAAAGCAGCAGATATTTTTGAAACAAAATTTTTTAATTAAAAAAATTTATATATTAAGTATCATTTGTTAGATAAAGTTAAAAGTATCTATTGTATTACTTTTTTTTAACTAATATTGATAACTGTTATCGAGTAAAAATTATAAAAATTAATTAACAGTAGCGCCATCTTTGTATGACAAATAAAAATACTATAGATTCGTAAGCTAATTTTTAAATTTATAATTTAATCAAATTTAAAATGACACATTTCAAAAAAAAAATTATTAGTAACCACCTCAAAATCGTTTAATTTTAAATTTATAAATATTATTTTTGATAATATTTGAAATTCAAGCACTGTTGACAGCAATTTGACAGATGGTGAAAACGTAAACATAACACAACATTACGTAAATTTTTTTATTTCCATCTTATTTAATAAAAAGAAGTTTAGATAAACATAAAATACAAAATAAATTATGGAATATTGTGATTGTACCGAATATTGTAAAAGTAAACAACATGGAGATAAAATAACAGCTCTACTAACAAAAAGGGGCCTAACAGATGCTCAAATTTGTTCATACATGAACCAGATATGTTATAACTGCGAAAATGTTCGGGATAATGATGGAAGAACTCCACTCCATATGGCTGTGTCTGTTGGTCGTAAAGATGTTGTTCAATGGTTAATTCGTAGAAAATCTAATTTAAATGTAAGGGATACGGAATCTTCTTACACTCCCTTACATAGAAGCATTTATTATGGTAATATTCATGGGGTGATTACTTTATTACAAAATGGAGCCACTAATAATATCTTGGATAATGATGGGTTGAGTTATATTGATCATGCTGTAAAGAATTGGCCTTATAAGAAATCTACAACTACAGAAAGTTCAGAACAAGTATATATTTGGGGCCCTGATACTAATTATGTGTTTGGTGCTAAGAAATCCCGCCCTGTACCGGAAATATGGGAAATTTTCCATAAAGAACACCAATTTGGGATAAAAAATATTTATTTAGACAAGTTTCATTGTGTTGCAATATCAATTAAAGGTGATGTCTACAGTTGTGGACATGGACAAGGAGGTCGTTTGGGTTTAGGCAGTGAACAAACAGCTTTAAAACCAGGAAGAATCATTTTCAGTGATAAGCAAGAAAACTCAAGTTCAATTTGTTGTATTTCTGCAAGCATTTCGAGAGATCATAGTGTGTTTTTAACCGAATGTGAGGGAAAACGACAAGTTTGGTCTTGTGGGTTAAATACACATCATGTTCTTGGTATAAATCCACCACCTGTTAATCAAGTATCTCCAAAGCGTTTAAATAGTATTAGAAACGCTCCGATTAAAGGAGTTTGTACAAGTCATTATCATTCGATTGCTTGGACAGAAAGTTCGGTTTTTTCTTGGGGTTTAAATGGCGGACAATTAGGACATGAAATTTCCACAGAAAAATATGTAACCGTTCCAAAGGTTATTTCAAAAATAAGACTTAAATCTGAATTATTAGATGTAACTACTAGTATTGCTAGTACAGCGATTTTAACAAAATCTGGGGAGGTATTAATTTTTTATCAACATAAATGCCTTACAATTCCAACAAGGTTTGTTTATTAATAAAATTTTATTTCTAATTTTGGTATAATTCAAGAATCATCATGTCGCTTAAAATTCACTCAAGTAAACTATTACAAAAAAAAGGGCGGAAAAGTGTAAAACTTACCGAAAAATCACTTTAAAGTTTCGACGTGACGTCACTTTTTGTGACGTCATCGACCGTGCTACCATATTCTCGCAGCACATTCTGTTAAAACGCAGATTTCGGGTGAAATACGGGTGTTTTTTAGGTTTTCGACGCACAACGACTAAGATGTCCTTGTTTATCATCTATAAACTAAACATAACCTAAAATCTATATCTGATCCCTACCCCCCTCTTTAAAACGGTACATTCGGATCTACCAGAAGACTGAACACAAGAGTCTGAAGATGCACAGCTAAACCCGTTACTTTCTAGGTCTAATGTAAGTTCTAGTTTTACACTAACACTATCACTAGAACTAAGAAGTCCTAGAACTAGAATCATTTGGGTTTAGCCACCTTGAGAAACGTGTGGCTAAACCCGAATGTTTCTAGGTCTAGTGTTAGTTCTAGTTTTAAATGTTATTTAGCGTATATTAGATTGTATATTTTTATTGAAAGAAAAGTAACAAACATTGGGGTTTAACCGTTTGTCTCTTAAGACGGCTAAACCTGAATGTTTCTAGTTTTAGGTCTAATGTTAGTTCTAGTGACAATGGTAGGTAGCGCTACTATCAGTGGAAAAAGTCAGGGCCCCTTACTTTAGAGATCGATATCTTCGTAACCCGTCGACGGAAAAAATTGTTGTAAAGTTTATTGTAATCAGTGAACATTTCTGCTTATCACATGTTAATTTGGAAATTTTCGGGTCCGCGGTTTTACTTTTATGCGAGTTAAGGCTCCTTAACCGAGACTGTCACCGTAGATTTCGAATTACTTCCTTATTTATTAATGGATTGGATTAATTTATCTTTTGTCATGTTTCTATAATAGTTATGAACCCGGGGCAAGAACAGAAAATGAAATTTGAAGAAAAATATTGCTTTATTTTTTAAAATAGTAAGATTTTTACGATTTTTCTTCTTGGTCCGGATGTAAAACAATAAAATAGAAACATTATTCTTGTAGCACTTTTACGAAATATTAATAATAAACCCGTAATTAGTAATTTACGGTTTTACATTAAGTTTTAATATTTTGGAATATATTTTGCTTTCCGGATCTCACGAGCGATGATTGGTTAAAGAAAAAAACATGTGGGCTGGCTATGTGAACCTCCGGCGAGTGGTTTGTAACGTAAAAAAAAAGCATACATAACATACATACATAAAAAACAAGTTTGTAGACATTCTTCTTGTCTACCGACTGCATACTATGAAAGGGAAGGAAGCTTACGTTTTCTGATAGCGGGCTATAGAATGTTCTTATTATCGGTTTGCGCGGAAATACGAACCAAAAGTGTATTTTTATATTATTATTATTATATTATACCGGGTGTTCCTCAAAAGTGACTCACCCCCATATTTTTTTGTATTATTGGTGATATAAGAAAACCATTTGAAATGCATAATTAGGCCGTTAAAAAGGATTATTACGACATGAAATCATTTTCGCTTTTTTTTTAAATCTAAATTTTTTTTCCTTAGTTGGGTAGACAGCATAAATTCAGACAACTTTTACTTGAAAAAATTTTCACGATCGCTATTAATTTTTGAAATAAAAATTATTTTCCTTATTTTTTAACGTTTTAGTACCTTCGGAAAATGTATTACAACTTTTGACGCATAGTAGCTAGGTTAATAGTATAAATTACGCTATGATCCTCTTGATTTACTGTTTCTCGAGTAGTGATCACTGCTATGCTTTAGTCAGTGGTTCTTTTTAATAATGGTGTAAATTAACAGTTGTATTAAATTAGTTTTAAAAGAAAAACGCGAATAAACAATTAAATTTAATTCAATTATAAGTTCAAAAAAACTAATTTCCTAAATTTTCAATATGCCCAACAACTCGACTTTATTCCTGTGGAGATATTTGAGTAATACAATTTCTAACTCGATTTATTTTCTAATGCCTCACGAGACCTTACAGGTGTATTATACACCTCATTTTTGATTATGCCCCATAAAAAAGAATCTAAAGGTTTGAGGTCAGGTGACCTAGAAGGTTTTAACCAAAATAAAGTATACAATCCAAATTATAATCTACAATGGACATTGTACGTTGTAAGTTACTATCAGCTACAGAACATTTAGTGAAAAAGAACAAAAAAAAAAGAAAAAAAAAAGATAAAAAATAATTGAATTAAACTTAATTGTTTGATCGCGTTTTTCCTTTAAAACTAATTTAATACAACTGTTAATTTACACCATTATTAAAAAAGAACCACTGATTAAAGCGTAGCAGTGATCACTGCTCGAGAAATAGCAAATCAAGGGGGACATAGCGTAGTTTATACTATTAACCTAGCTACTATGCGTCAAAAGTTGTAATACATTTTCCGAAGGTACTAAACCGTTAAAAAATTAACGAAAATAATTTTTTTTTCAGAAATTATAAGTGATCGTGAAAATTTTTTCAAGTAAAAGTTATGTGAAATTATGCTGTCTACCCTACTCAAGAAAAAAAATTATAGATTTAAAAAAATAGCGAAATTAGTACTCACATCCGGTATAACCGGAAGTACAAAGAGAATGATTTCATGTCGTAATAATCCGTTTTAACGGCCTAATTATACATTCCAAATGGTTTTCTTATATCACTAATAATAAAAAAAAATATGGGGGTGAGCCACTTCTGTGGAACACCCGGTATACAGGGTGATTCAAAAACCGCTGACAGACTTCTAGGGCAGGTAATACATCAAAAATTAAGATGAAAAGTCTTAATATATATGGGGTCGCAAATACCTCCTTAACGAGATATGCGGGTCAAAGTTTCTTTAAAATTAAACATTATCTGCAATAAAAAGCCATTTTTTAAAAATATTTTCAACTCCACTGCTAATTTTGTCAAACGGGCAGTATTTTCGTGTAAAGCAGATAATGTTTAATTTTAAAGAAACTTTGATCCGCTATATCTCGCCAACGAGGCATTAGCGACCTCATGTATATTAAGACTATTCATCTTAATTTTTCATGTATTATCTACTCTAGAAATCTGTCAGCGGTTTTTTGAATCACCCTGTAAATACAGGGTGATTCTCAACCTATACGCATAAACTTGGGGATTTACTCCTCACGACGAATAATGACTAACAGGCGAAAAAATTTGTAGTAAAAAATTTTTTGTTTCATAGATATCCGTGATATTTACTTTCAAATCAAGAATACATAGAACATTTTAAAATAACATCACAGCAAATGTTCGAAGTGATTTCCCATATTTTCTATCAATTGAGCTCCCGGAATCCACGATCTCCCATTAGCGTGGTCTAAAGTCTAAACCAGGGTTATGGCGAATTGTCTGGGCAGCAGCATGTAAATGATTTTGCAACATTTGCTCAGTATTAACTTCCGTGACGTACACTTTGCTTTTTAAGTGACCCGACAAGTAAAAATCAAGAGGGTTGAGGCTGGGCGATCACGGTAGCCAGGTCATTGGACCATCTCGACCTATTCATCTTCCAGGAAACACATTATTTAGATTTAGAGAAACTAAAAAACTTTTACTACATTTTTTTTTATCTATTAGTGATTATTTGTTATGAGGAATCCTCAAGTTTACGCGTATAGGTTGAGAATCACCTTGTATACTTTCAAGTAACACTAGGGATGTGCCATACGGCGATTTTCTTGAAACTTGACATACAAGTAGGGCATGGGAAAATATTCGACAAGTATATTGTCATTCCTGCCCGATCGCCGTTTTAAGGGTAGAAATCACCCTTTCCGATTATAGAGATATGTTCGATTATTTTACGAATTATTTTTACGATTGTTGAGAAAATATATCACTAGGGGTTTTTCTTCTGTTTTATTCCTGTTTCAAAAACTGCAATAACTTGTGTGAACTCTGCAATGATATTGCAATAATTAAATATGCTTGGTGTTTGACATCAATATACATGCAGCACTTCTTTGCGGTAGCAAACGACAACCCTTCACATTACTGTCTGTACTAATTTTAAAATATAGGTCAAACAGCTCCCCGATTCGTGAGAGGCAAGGGGACTTACGTTCAAAAAGCACACCAATGAGATGAGAACCTTATCACGTCCACGTCGTTCATCCGGGGTAGCACTAACAATAAAAAAGATTTGATTATTACATGCATCACTATTTGTAATGAGTAGTGATGAGTTTCCATGATTCGTTACTGTAGGGGTAGTTTTGATATTAACCCTTTTTTAAAAATCCGCCTTAAAATTATCCTCATTTCTAACATTTTTAAACATTTTTCGCAATATTTAACAAGGGTGTACAATTTTTAAAAAACTGCTGTCGCCATTTTGAATTCTCGAAAACGGACATCAGATTCATTATCAGCGACGCCAAAAACCCGTAGTAAAATGATTTCGTAACAATCGTAAAAATAATTCGTACAATAATCGAACTTATCTTCAAAATCGGAAAGGGTGATTTCTACAACGGCGATCGGGCAGATATGGCGATATACGTGTCGAATATTTTTCCATACACTACTTGTATGCCAACTTTCAAGAAAATCGCCGTATGGCACTTCCCTAGTGTTACTTGTTAGAATTTGTAGAAAATATCATAAAACTTAAGTCGAACCATGATTGTTATAACCAAATTCAGGAACAGCTTCCTCTAGCAAAGAAAAAGAAATCTTATTTTTTGGTGTGGAGTCCTGTTGCGTCCCCACTGATTGAAATAATTGAAAGGAATGAATTGTTTTGGAATGAATGTATCCAAAGTTAAAAATATTTTTCTATGATTTCGTTCTTAATTGTTTCAGGTTGTAAATACATTATTTATAAATCCATTTATTCATTCCTTCATTGATAAAATGCATATTACCCAATAGGAAAACAGTGGGAATGTCTTGCCAGTACATGCTATCCTTTTTTGAATTTTCGTTTCGCTGTTGTCAAACATATTCTCATCAAGCGGTTAAGGAGCCTTAAGTGAAAAAGTACCCGATTTTTGAGAGTGCCAGCAACTTTATCTGCTTTGCGATTTTTTCTCTCCAAAACTATTTGACGAAAAAAATTCAAATTTGAACTGGTGGTAAACCGATGTGTTCTTAATGTGGGGCATATTTTATTTTTTCGATATTCCATATAGTTTCGCGGAAAATCGCGGTTTAGTAGGATGCGGTTATTTCGAAAACGACCTGGCGAATTTTAACGCGGTTTTTACCAAAATATGTCAAATAACGCCGGTTGTCGGATTCCGTTATCAGTTTTTCAAAATTAAGGCTCCCTAATTTTTTAAGAGCGATTTAATGGAATTATAAGTTAAAGAGAAACAGAAATAAGCTATGCGGGGAGAGGAAGGTTTCGCCCAATTGGAACAGATGGTGCGTCCCAGACAGTACGTCGCGCCTTTATCTTCCCTTCATAAAGAAATAAGGCGCGACGTCCTGTCTGGGACGAATTTAGAAGTCGCGTACATTTTTTTCATTATACCTGTGACAATTACTATACGAATGGGAGAAAGAATTTGAAATTACCATACATTATAAAGAATTAAATTTTGCGTCCAAAAAAGGTGGTCTCGATTTTTTTCTACGAAGTAGTTTTTTTGTTATTCGCGTTCAAAGTGAGGGGCAAAAATTTTTAATCCGATAATAGGTCTTGTGTTAGTTCTAGTGATACTGCAATAAAACTATGCAACATTAGTTCTAGTTTTAAATGTTATTTAGCATTAGATTGTGGTATATTTTTATTGACAGAAAAGTAGAACTAACACTAGACCTAGAACCAGAAACATTCGGGTTTAGCCGTGCATCTCTTAAGACGGCTAAACCTGAACGTTTCTAGTTTTAGGTCTAATGTTAGTTCTAGTGACAGTGGTAGGTAGCGCTAGTTAGCATGAGACATCACTATGTTGGATATTTTTATTGCACTAAAACTAAAACTAACACTACTATCGGTGCAAAAAGTCAAGGCCCCTCACTTTAGAGATTGATATCTTCGCAACCGCTCGATAAAAAAAATTACGACAAAGTTTGTTGTAATTATTATTGAACATTTCTACGTAACATAATATGTATATTAATTTGAAAATTTTCGGATCCGCGGTTTTCTTTTTATCGCGAGTTAAATGAAAAAAATACTCGATTTTTTGCGGTACCGGCAACTTTGTCAACTTTACGATTTTTTTCTCGAAAACTATCGTACGCAATAATTAGAATTTTGAATAGGTAATAGCCTAATGGGTTCTTAATGAGAGACATATTTGATTTTTTCGATATTCTATACAGATTCGCGAAAAATCGTGGTTTAGTAAGACGTGCCGTCCTGTCTCTGGAACACACACCAGGACTATCTTTTCCGATTGAACGAAACCCTTCTCTTCCCACATGGCTTATTTCTGTTCCTTTTTAATATATAATTCGCTTAAATTGCTTAAATTAGAGAGACATAACATTGCAAAACTGATAACAGTATCTGACAAACGTAATCATTATTATACACATTTTGGTTAAAAACGTGTTGAAATCCACCCAGCCGTTTTCGACATAACGGCGTCCAATGAAATCGCGATTTTCCGCGAAACTATATGGAATATCGTAAAAATAAAATATGCCCCTTATTAAGAACACATCAGACTACCTGTTCAGAATTGAAATGTTTTTAAAGTTGACAATGTTGCCGGTACCGTAAAAAATCGGGTACTTTTTTCATTCAACTGGCGATAAAAACAAAACCGCAGATCCGAAAATTTTCAAATTAACATATCTTACGTAGAAATGCTCAGTGATTACAACAAACTTTGTCGCAATTTTTTTTATCGAGCGGTTGCGAATATATCGATCTCTAAAATGAGGGACCTTGACTTTTTGCACCGATAGTAGACCTTTTTTTTAGGTGTAGTGTTAGTTCTAGTTTTGCTCTATCACTAGAACTAACACAAGCCGCCTTGAGAGACGTGCGGCTAAATCCGAATATTTCTAGTCCTCGATCTAGTGTTAGTTCTAGTTTTGCACTAGAACTAACACTGGACCTAGAACTAGAAACATTTCGTTTAGCAGTGCGTCTCTTAAGACGGCTAAACCTGCATGTTTCTACTTCTAGCTGTAATGTTAGTTCTAGTGACAATGATGGGTAGCGCTAGTTAGCATAAGATATCACTATGTTACATATTTTTATTGCAGTATCACTAGAACTAACACAAGACCTATAACTAGAAACATTTCGTTTAGCCGTGCGTCTCTTAAGACGGCTAAACCTGCATGTTTCTACTTCTAGCTGTAATGTTAGTTCTAGTGGCAATGGTGGGTAGCGCTAGTTAGCATAAGATATCACCATGTTACATATTTTTATTGCAGTATCACTAGAACTAACACAAGATCTACAACAAGAATCGTTTGGGTTTAGCCGTCTTGAGAGACGTGCGGCTAAATCCGAATTTTTATAGTTTTCGGCCTAGTGTTAGTTCTAGTATTAAGACAGAGTCTATCTGACGACAGGTAACGATAGTCGTTATGCATGGAAAGCCTAAAAAAACAGGGTGTTTCATCCGAAAATATACGTTGTAATCTCACCTAGTTTAGTGAAAATAACTTCACTTTTAAGTTTATCAGATTGATTTTGTGCGTGGCTATAAAATACACATTTTGTAGGTTAGGTGTTGACCGATTTAATAGGAAAATACATTTTTAACATTGCTTGTGGTCAAAAAACGTGACGTCACATCGAAACTTTAATGTGATTTTTCGGTATGTTCTACACTTTTCCGCATTTTCTTTTTATTTTTATCGTGTTTTTTGTGTCATTTCACATTAATTAAAAAAAAATCGTTGATTTTTAAGCCACATGATGATTCTTGAATTTTTCCATAATTTTATTTAAAAATTTCTTTTAGAGGTCCTCTAACAAAAATATGCGCGGTAGGTGGAAAATTAAACATTTCAGTAGAAAATAAAACTTCGGATGAATTAAAAATAGCTGGATTAACACCGAATGGAAAAATATTGATTTGGTATGAATCTGATTCTTACCTTACACAATGCGTCATGTCTTTAAATAGAGAGATTATTGTTACCGATTTTGTATTGAGTGTGAATGGAATTGCATTTATTACAAACAATGGAGAATGTTTTACTGGAACTATAAAGCAACGTAAAAAAGATTCGCCTCTGCCTCCTAATAAACAGAGTATCGCATTTAATCAATTTTTGGATAGAGATAAATGTCATTTTATTAAATTAAGTAAAGTATTAAATTTGTATAGATCTTTATTGATAGCTTCAGATCCAATTGGTGTAAATTTTGCTGTTATACAGGTGAGTAAATTTATTGTTTTTTGAGGTGTAAAAGTGTCATAAAAAATGATTCTTTTAATCTGTTATATTCTCTCTCTTTTTATGTTAAACCAAATACTTATTTAGACTACATGATTCAGTAGTCAGTACAATACTGTGCCACTGTAATAAATATATCAATTATAGCTTCAACCATAAATGGCATAGTTCATCTTCACATTAGAACAACAATGAAAAAAATATCAAAAACAAATTGCTGGCACTGTTTAAATGAAAAAGATGTAAGTCACTCAGTTATTGGCACCTTTGCACACTGATTTGGAAATCATGAGGAGGTCTTTAGTACTGATGAAATTTACATTGACTCAATAAATTAAAAATACTTGAATTAATCATATTATGTTAAATTGCAATAAGATATGTTAAGATCTATTTTTATTTCTATTCTCAACTTATAAAAGAGATTTGTTTATTCATAGGACCGATTTCAGTCGCCAAATAACAACCATTTTCGACTAAAATCTAATGAAAACAAAATTTTTTTATAAAGCGACCTAAATTACAGTTCAAATCTGCTTCTCGCAACCAAGTTCCCATTTTTTCCGGTTTTCTCTTCGTGATCTTTTGAATTTTCTGCGTTTCGCGTTATTGTGTGGCACAAATTCCATGACTCTTTTAGGCCATCTGTCTGTCGACATTCCTTCGCATACTTCGTCCGTACCATTTAAGCCTCTTTACCTCGATTGTCTCTAATGTATTTATGTTAATTTCAACTTGTTGACTGATATCAATATTCCTCACTTTATCTCCCCTTGTCTTTCTGCATAAGACTCCATAACTTTGTTCAGTAGTCAGTATTCTGTCTCTATTAGCTTGACCTATTCTACTAATTATTTCCTCGTTGCTATCCCCCTTGTCTGTAATTTGCACACCCAGGTATCTATAGGATGTCACGTTTTTGATAATGTTGTCCTCTATAGGCAAATCATCTCCCAAGTTGGGTCGGGTTGGGACTCCCAACTCCTGGCATCTAGACTTTTCCGTGTTGTAATTCCTCATTGTAATTTTAATTTGCGCTGCATGTAACTGACGGCATGTATCCTCGGTCTTTCTTGCCTGGTTGTCGGCGAAGTGTAATATGAAAAGTTTGACGTTGTTTACAGGTGCTCCCATACNTTGGTTTCTTTAAATACTACTGTAACGCGACCATTGCGCCATCTACATCGATTCAGTTTATGTGAGAGAGAAAGTATCATACGAAGTTTTCATTAGTTGAACAAGGATAGATAGGAGTGCCAATTTATTAGCCGGAGTCCGGCCTCTGTATACTCTGTGGACACAGGTAATCGGCCTCGCCCTCGACCGGCGAATATTAAATTTCGCTATTGGACTGCTTTAAACAGTTCCCGTGCGGTTATTATAAATATTTCGACAAAATGTTATTAGAAAAATCGCTGCAGAATAATGTACCTTCAACCGTATAATGCTCTAATCCGGAAGATACGGGACAGCCTCCTGTATAGTATGCTTTATTGTCACTTTCAGTATATAATTAACACTAAAGCCCCGTTCTCCTCCTCTCCCTCATCACCTACGTCATCCACGCTCCCCCTCTCGCCTCAGCATATTTTATCCCAATCATTTCCACACAATCTACAGATCCTCTTCTCATGCCTTACCCAATATTTATTCGCCCTCTCGTTATTCCCGCATCTTAACCTTAAGCCGGATTTATATTTGTCTGACGTATTGTGTCGTGATGCGCTCTGACGTAATGGTTAGTGTTCACATTTATATGTTGTGTTCTGACGCACTCTGGCGATATTTTGAATGAATACAATCGTAGCACTCAGAGTTCATACGTGGGTCTATAATGTTTTCCCATGAATCTTCTGATTCAAATTATGAAGAAGATATTCATTTTATGGTACTGGCAACTCTTCTAAAAAAAAAGAAAAAGAGAGAAGATCCAGTGAACAGAAAGAGAGAGGCTAAAGGCGAATTTCACGGCCTGGTTAAAGAGCTTGAGAGCGATGCTGATAATGTTAAATGTAATTAAATTTAATATCGAAAGAAAGAAGAAACGCAAATCTGACGAGTCATAAGGCAGGTGTACACTTGTCTGATCTGTCGTTATGCGTCACTTCCCACTCCACTGTATGCTCCACTGCTCTAACGGACATCGGGATCGCTGATGCGACACAACACAAGGCACCACAACACATTGCGACACACAAATATAAATATCGCCATAGTAAATCGATACCGTTCTGACGCGTCACAACACGACACGTCAGACAAATATAAATCCGGCTTTATTATTGTATCTCCCCTCTTTCACCTGAGCACGCCATCCTTGTTTTTCCACATCTCTATCTTTAACATCCAACTCCTTCCACAGTGTGGACTCTTCCTTCCTTCTTTGTATTTCTTCTGTTGAGTACCGTACTCTGATATAATATTCCGTCCAATACTCTTCCAAAGTCCCTCCTTTGCTCCAGTCCATCCTCTTACCTTATCACCCTTCTATCTGCTTCCACCCTCATCTTTTCCAGTTTTAACTTCTTTCTCATTATACAGGATGAGTTATTAGTATCCCGGTGGTCNGCGCTGCATGTAACTGACGGCATGTATCCTCGGTCTTTCTTGCCTGGTTGTCGGCGAAGTGTAATATGAAAAGTTTGACGTTGTTTACAGGTGCTCCCATACTAGAACATTGTTTCAGATACAGCACCCTGGCTTAAGTCGTCTAGTAATAGGGAACAAGTCGGACAAATCATTTCTAATCTTTACTAAACAAACATAGGAAACATCATAAATTTAAAAAAAATAAAACTTGAACAGAACTTACAGAGAAGAAACTAAAAATAGCATTATTTGAGTGTAAATTGAGAAAACACTTTAAGATGGCTCACTTAATTTGGAAAAAATAAAAATCGATAATGGCGAATTTATTATAGAATAGAGGTAGTACAATTTAGTGATTGCAAATCTGCCTGCGACTAATCAAGGTGAAATGGGTATAAAGTTCATTTTGAAAGTTTACTCCTAAAAGAATCTGTGAATGTTATTATTAACATTGTTTATTGCTTTGCAATACAGACTTTTTTACATTTTGTGGGTTATATTTCTAATATATGATTAAAGTTAACAGAGCTTCAAAATACCTTTCATTGCAGTTTTCATGGGTGCATTTACTTCAAAACTCAAAGGCTTCAATATACAGGCTGATTCAAAAAACCATTGACAGACTTCTACTTCAGGAAATACATCAAAAATTAAGATGAAAAGTCTTAATATACATGGGGTCGCAAATGCTTCCTTAACGAGATATAGCGGGTCAAAGTTTCTTTAAAATTAAACATTATCTGCAGTTTTTGATTGAATTAACAAATTTTCTACAAACGTGTTTTTCTTAAAAACTATTGCTTTGATCAAAGTTTTGTAAGAGACCAATTGATAGATAATTGATCACTTTACACGCGTAGGGAGCAATTGCGTAGACAATATTTTTAAAAAAGTGCTTTTTGTAGCAGATAATGTTTAATTTTAAAGAAACTTTGATCCGCTATATCTCGCCAACGAGACATTTGCGACCCCATGTATATTAAGACTATTCATCTTAATTTTTCATGTATTATCTACTATAGAAGTCTGTCAGCGGTTTTTTGAATCAGCCTGTATACAGTCCGCGTCATAAGTAATATCATAAGAACTAATTAACTAATATTTTTCGCGAGGTATCATGCGATTCGTATTTTTTTCCCTATCAGAAAATGTTATAANAAGTCTGTCGGCGGTTTTTTGAATCGTCCTGTATACAGTCCGCGTCATAAGTAATATCATAAGAACTAATTAACCAATATTTTTTGCGAGGTATCATGCGATTCGTATTTTTTTCCCTATCAGAAAATGTTATAATACATGTATATAGGGTGTTGCATTAAAAAAATTAAATTGTCATCATGCGGAAAAACAAAAAGTGATAAAGAATTTTTCATGCTAAATTATTTGTTGTTTTCAAATTAGAGAGAGGGGTTTTCTTATGACGTGTACTGTATACAGGTGTCCCGTATCTTCCGGATCAGAGCATTATACGGTAGAAGGATACATTATTCTGAAGCAATTTTTCTAATAAAATTTTTTCGAAATGCTTATAATAACCGCACGGGAACTGTTTAAAATCGTCTAATAGCAGATCGTAAGTCAGACACAGGTAACCGGCCTCACCCTCGACCGGTGAATATTAAATTCCGCTATTGGACGACTTTAAACAGTTCCCATGCGGTTGTTATAAACATTTCGACAAAATGTTATTAGAAAAATCGCTTCAGAATAATGTATCTTCAACCGTATAATGCTCTAATCCGGAAGATACGGGAGGCTGTCCCGTATCTTTTGTATAGTATGCTTTATTGTCACTTTCAGTATATAATTAACACTAAAGCCCCGTTCTCCTCGTTATTCCCGCATCTTATACTTATTATTGTATCTCCCCTCTTTCACCTGAGCACGCCGTTCTTGTTTTTCCACATCTCTATCTTTAACATCCAACTCCATCCACAGTGTGGACTCTTCCTTCCTTCTTAGTATTTCTTCTGTTGAGTACCCTACTCTGATATAATATTCCGTCCAATACTCTTCCAAAGTCCCTCCTTTGCTCCAGTCCATCCTCTTACCTTATCACCCTTCTATCTGCTTCCACCCGCATCTTTTCCAGTTTAACTTCTTTCTCATTATACAGGATGAGTTATTAGTATCCCGGTGGTCGATAATTACTAAACCGTTTGAAACCCAAAAAAATATTTTATACAAAAGTTCATGACTTTCTATTACGTAAAATTATTTTCACTTATACAGTTATTACATCTTTTTAAATCTCATAAAGTACCAAGTCGCATTAAAATCTGGTATATCGGAGCAAAATTATTTTACATTATAAAATATTAATCAAATAATAAAAGGAAGAAAAAAACTGTGAAAAATAAGCAGAATATAATATTAAGTACAAGAACGCATATTTTATTACACATTATTCTTTAAATTCTAAATATCAGGAAAACTAATAAAGTTAGATATATGACATACTTATCATTAATTAAAGGTAACTTGATGAGCAATTCAACCAGCACACAGTATACAGGCTGTTCCATTTAAAAAACTTATGAAAAAGCTATTTGAAAAAAATCAAAAGTAACTAAGCTTTATGAACATGCTGTATAGCAGTGGTGTCCATAATGTCGATCGCGATCGACCGCGAAGCCGTTTTGAGTCGATCGCCAACAAAATCATGAATCTGAAATATCTATATCTGGGAAAAAAAAGATTACTTTTAAAATGTAAAAAAATATTTTAAATCCTTCGGTCTATCTTGGCAAGACATTTATATAAAAAGTCGATCTTGATCAGAAATTTGTGGACACCACTGCTGTATAGCGTATTTAATATCTTTGGTTACTATCATCTGGCTATCATCATTTATCTACTGGCTTTGACTATTATTTGACATAGTATAAAGAATAATTGTTATTTAACACCATATGTTATACTATATACATATGAAACGGAAATAATGCAGTGCCAATAATTGGGTGCCTTACTCTAATTTGATGAATAAAAAAAACTAGTAAATAATTAAATTAAAATAATTTTTTAGGGCAACCCTAACGAAAACTTACATTATCCTCATTTATCTGAAGATACTTTAATGTCCGACATAAAAAATCTTCTAATCCAATCGGATCCCGACGATTTAACCCATGACGTTATTTTTAATGTTGGTTTACAAAAATTTCCCGCTCATAAATACATTCTAGTCAATAGTAGTAAGACAATCATCGATTTTAAATCTCGCTCAAAAGATTCGTATAATTTAGAAAAAATTCGTCCGGAGTTATTTGAAGAACTTCTCACATGGATTTATACAGGAAATTGTAATTTAATCCACACTGGTGAATGTCCAAATCATTTGTTAACAGTCGATGGTGATAAAAACTCTGTACGATTATTGCAAGATTTAACAAGAAAATTTGGAGTTGTTGATTTAGATAAAATACTTTCTAATTTTACTATGGTCGGAAATAAAATTGAATATGCTAAAAAAATGAATACATTCCATCATTCGCCGAATAAAAGTTTTAATAGAATGGATTTTCCCGAATTACATGATGTAAAAATAATTTCAAAAAATGGACAAAGTTTATCTGCACATAAATGTATTTTAATAGCTCGGGTCCAGTTTTTTAGAAATATTTATTCGAGTAGATGGAACACAAATTCACCGCTGGAAAAAATCGATTTACCATATACATTAAACATTTTAGAATTTTTTTTGGAATTTATTTACACCGATAAAATTAAATCAATTTCAATTATTGATATAGATTCTTTATGCCACTTACTACAATTAAGCGATCAATATTTAATCGAACGTTTACATAATTTGTGTCAAATCGAGCTATGTTATCGATTATCCTTTAAAAATGCGGTTGAAATGTTTGCAATTTCTGCAGCATTTAATGCAGCAGAATTACAACGTTGTACGATGGAATTTATCTGTTCAAATTTACCAACCTTTTTAGATTTAAAATTACTTAACGATTTAGATGATGATTTATTAATGGAATTAACAAAATATTATTGTTCTTCGATTAAATCGATGCAAAATCGTATTATCACCCCGTTTAGTACGGCTCCTAGCGATGAAGAAGTACTTGCTATCGTTGAAAACTGCAGTTTTGATGAAACAGAGGTGACACCAAAAGTAACAAAAACAACTCCAAAATCACATAGAACGCGATACAGATCGCATAAAGATAGTATTTCGGAAAATTATAAAGACGATTCAATTAATGATGGTTCATTAATGAGTTGTTCGCCTAAAATTGAAGCTGTAATTCCGAAAATGAAAGAAATTCATCTTCCATCAAGGATTAAAGCGATTACTCAAGCCCAAGAAAAAATGTCTTCTGAAAAAAATGGCAATTTTAATTTTGTAAAGTTAAGTTCGTCAATGGACGAGAGAAATTTTATGGGATTCGATGAATTTCCTACTTTAGGAACTTCACCGCCTTGTGTTATTAATAAAACTCCAAAAAGAATAAGTGGAGAAAAAACACCCACTTTTAAACAAAAACATAAGAAAATTATCCTTGGAACGAGTCCTCAACAAAATAAAACATCCTCACCACCTGGAAATCCTTGGAAAATTAATTTTGAAACAGACGTAACTAAATGTGAGTTAGAAAATCAAAATAAAGTTGCTAATATGCAAACGATTGTTATGGAGGAGAAACAACAAAAAGAAAAATTTAATCGGATGATATCTAAACCTTTAATTTATACCCAGGTTTGGTTAAATACACTGACCGGCAAAAAAAACCGGCCACTAAAATGTAGCCACAATTTCAAAGCTGGCTTACTCACGAACCACTCATTCGATTTTGATGATTCTTTTTTTGATCGAAAGGTTGATTCTTCTGTAATAATCCTGCGATAGAAATTGTTATTCGGATATTAATTTGAGCATATACGAGGTGCAAGAATGAGGAAAGCTTTTTTTCTCGAAATTAGTAATACCCTGTGGGGTGCAGCTGCTACAGCAGAGGGTGTTAACTGGAATCAAACGGTAGCCCAATCTTTTCTGAGCATTTTGTTTTTTTATTCACTCTATTATCTCTGTTACTAACGAAGATGCAGTATTTTAAAGCGATCGCCTGTGAAAACAAGACGAGTGACAATAATAGCTGATGACCGTTTTATTGTTCTAAGCAATCGTATAACGACAGCTGTAGAAACTCGGTGTCGTCTTCAAATGGTGCATGTTCTTGATATCAGTGAGAGAACCATTCGCTGAAAACTTGCTAGATGTGGTCTCGCTGCAAGAAGGCTGCCAAAGGACCGAGGCTACTTCCAAGATATCTGCGCGCTTACATGTAAATTGGGAGATCGAGCAATGGAGGAAAGTCCTTTTTACGGATGAGTAGTGGTTTTGTCTATCACCCGATGGTCGATGAGCGAATATGAAGACGTTGAAATTAAAGATTTGTGGACTATACAATTATGAATCGCGAATGTTTCGATGGTGGTTCTGGTCGGGAATTTACAATGAAGCCTGTACAGATTTTTAATCTTTGTTAAAAATGGCGCCTTAAATCACTGACCTTGAAAACAAAAACTGGGCACCCGAAACAGTTTTGCAGAAGCACTTACATTTTCTTAGAATTACAGAATTACTTACGTCCTTCATTATTGTAAACATCTGTTGACAAATAAACAAGAAAACAAACTTAATTTAATGTAACAATTAATAATAACACGAAAATTAATAGCGTGTGTGCCCCCCACGAGCTAAAATAACCTCATGTAGTCGCAACGCGGCATTGAACTGATTAGGTTCGTAATTGATTCTTGAGGAATTGCGGCAAACTCTTTTTCAAAAGCAATTCGTAACTCTTGAAGGCTGTCCGGTAGGACAGGACGACGACGAATGCGTCTCTCAAGTTGGTTCCAAAGATATTCGATAGGGTTAAGGTCCGGGCTGCACGCTAGCCACTCTATCCGTTCAATACCCTAATTCATCAAGATATTCGTTAACCACACGTGCTACGTGCGGTCGCGCATTGTCATGCATTAGCATGAATCCGTCACCAATAAAATGGGAATAGAACCTCCATGGAAAGGTACTCTTTCCGAAATTGTGCAGGTCGCAAACCTTTCATTACGACGTCTCCACACTCATTCTCGACCATCAGGTGACCGGAGTTGTTCCATCCATTCCCTAATTCATATGTACGCGCCCAAATTGAAGACGTGCTCGCCGATGTCTCTGGAGCAGCCGAGGTCTTTTGCCAGGTCTTCTTGCGGTCAGATCACTTTTATCAAGTCTTTGATGAATAGTTCTTTCACTTACGTCAACCCCACGCACCATTTGAAGACGATGTCGAGTTTCTACAGCTGTCGTTCTACGATTCCTCAGAGTGTTTAGAACAATAAATCGGTCATCAACTGCTGTTGTCACTCGTCTTCTACCGAAACCTTGCCGCCTAGTGAAATTTCCTGTTTCCATATATTGGTTCCAGGCATCCTGAACTGTTGTTCGGGGTATACCCAACGTATGGGCAACGTATTGCTGACTTTTGCCATCCTCAATTAAAGTAACAATACGCGCAACATCAGTTACTGACAACGGGATTGCTACTATGTTAAAAGACTGTAAAAATCTTTAACAACTGTCAATTTACTATTCGAATCAAATGACATACGCTACCTAGCGCGCCACCTTAGATTTTTTATGCTTGTTTGTCTTGGTGTTACAGGCGTTCGCTTTAAAACACTGCATCTTCGTTAGTAATAGAGATAATAGAGTGAATAAAAAAACAAGATGTTCAGAAAAGATCGGACTACCGTTTGATTCCAGTTAACGCCATCTGCTGTACCAGTTGCACCCCACAGGGTATTACAAATTTCGAGAAAAAAAAGGTTTTTCTCATTCTTGCAGCCCGTATATACTCAAATTAAAATCTAAATGAAAATTTCTATCGCAGGATTATTATTTATTACCGAAGAATCAACCATTCGATCAAAAAAACAATTATCAAAATCGAATGCGCGGTTTGCGAGAAAGCCAGCTTTGAAGTTTTGGCTAATTTATAGTGGCTGGTTTTTTTTGCCGGTCAGTTTATAAGATTTTTGTTTTATCTTATTTAATTCGGTTTTTTTAGATTGAAGATAAAGCTCTTGAGGATTTGATGAAATTTTATAACTGTTCGAATGTTTTTGATGAAGTCATTACAATGGAAAGGGTTAGTAATAAGGACATTGGAGTGCACCCAACTTGGACAAAAATTCATAAAGTTTTATGAAATGATTAATTTTTAACATTTTTAATGATTTTGTACTCACAAAATATATATGATTGTGTTTAATTTTAAGTAATTGTGAAGTAAAGTAATTGACAAAGCTAAATTATCTTTTTAATAAATTTAAATAATTTTTTTAGTTTATAACAAAGTGACAATTAATTAATTGTCATAAATCTTATAGATATTTTAAGGCATACTAATTTGAGGTGGTAATGGTTTAAACACAAGATATGATAAATGAATATTGTCCTTCATTTGTTCATAAATATTCAAACTATAGGGAATGGATTGCAAATGGAATTGCATCTGCTTATACAGATCGTTTTGCAAGATTAGAATGTTATAAGGGATGTTTTATTATTAAGTGCTGCAGTGATAGATTTAAAAGACTAAAATAAAAAGATTACTGCAAAAGCAATGGAAAGTAAGATCGAAATTCACAGATGAAACAGTACTAGAGGAACAATGTACATTTGGCTTTGTGTATAACAATAAGGCAATCAACCAGATAGAAATTTACGGTGAATACTATGCGAAGATGTACCAGATGTGGAAACAATCAACTATGTATATTGAACTAAAACTATAACTTTAGACTTTTGAAAAAGTGTTAGACGTTTCGAGATCAAACAAAAAAAGAAAGAACAAAAAAACAGACATAAATAGACAGAATGTAATATTAAGTACAGAGTCTGTCACGACGAGCTGACTCTATACAGTGCTAGAGTTAAGGGGGTATGCCACCTTGAAGACCCGAAAATAATAGGTATTTTGAAAATTTTTTTGCAATCAGACGAAAGAAGTTTTCTAAAAACGGGTTGCAGGGTGTGAATAAGCCACTTTTCTAGTTTTAAATACATATTTTATTTATTAACAGTTATTAAAATTGTACCCGCTAGATGTCGGTAATGTTAGGCTTGCAAATCGTGCAGGGTCAAACTGTGCGCAGGATTTCTCCTAACGCGTAAGTCGAATAATTAAAACTTGAATCAACTTGATTATTTTAGTAAACACAAAAACTAGGGAACTACGTAGGATTTTTAAAAAATATTAATTTTTGACGAAATGGTGACGATTTTACAAGAAATGTCGTATTTATCGATAAAAAACGTACATAAAAATGGTTGAAAAACAGAGAATCTGAGACATATCGAAAAACGGCTACGTACTTACCTAGAATAAGATAATAAAACTTTTGAAAAAAAAATCTTGAAAATTCGTTGAAAAATGTGGAAGTTATCGTGTGCACAGATTTGAAAAATGTAGTTTCCAGAAAAATGCGTTTAAAGTTTTCGAATGTAAAAAATTGTATATTTTTTCTAGATACATCTAATCAGCGATTCCTGCACCATACGGCTGTCCTTCCTGAAGCTTATTTTCATCTTCTGCAGCTTTTCTGTCTGACAGTAGGCTTCTACGAGCTTCTTTAGCCTCAGCAGACATGGAGCGCTCAGCGCGAGCAATGCGATTTAAATCCGTCTCATGACAAAAGTCGAAGCACGATCTTCCAATTGTTAATTTCAGTGCTTGCATTATTTCCATAATGCTTGTAAGACCGTCATTAAAATTGCAAGCAGCTATATCAGACGCAATGTCAACCACTTTCTTGCCACTATGAATAGTTTTTGGTGCGATAGACCATAACGTGGCGTTGTAACTTTCATTGCTGTTTTGCGTATATCCCCCTAAACATCTTGTCAAAAGATCTTCCCTTGATAGTTCTTCGTACACAGGTTTCACTGCGTTGAAAACATCATTGCTGATTGCTGGCTTGTGAGTGTACCATTTCTAACAAAGCGTACGCTTTTTGCCAGGATCACCACGAGTCAGCACCAACTGCACAATTGTCATGCTTTGGAGTTTCATCTGTTGAAATTTGATGATACAAAGTAGCCCAGATCTCTTTTTACATGTCCTTCACGGAATCGCAATTTCTGCGAATAGCCAATCCATAATATAAGGAAAGTTCATCAATTAATGTTCCTCTTAATTTTCCTTTGCCTCCTCATCCGCGGGTGTTTTTTTTTATATTTCGTATCCGTGTGCTCATTCGTTTCTGAACGTGATCGACGCATTCTTTTTTGGTTACTATTACACTATCATAGGGCTGAGCGTCCATAATACCTTTGAAGGTTTTGCTGTCTCCGTCTCCTACGTAAAAACAGTACTTCAAATTATGTTTTTCTTCGGATCGTTGAAACATCTCTACGACGGAGTCCACTTCCATTTTTCCTGAAGATCCGACATGGTTTATATCACATATTTCTTTATGATCTTCGACCCAATCTTGAAATTCCGCAGTATCTTCTTTACCTTTCCAGTAACTACACTTTTTACAAATTTTTGATTTTACATATGGAATTACCCCTTTGTTCGATAGAAGTCGGGTAAAGTTTTCTACGAAAATGAGTTTTTGTGATGTTTATTCAGGTACCCGAAAGCCTACTTCAATAGTGTTTTTGAAAAATGATATTTTATGTTTTTTTTTAACTTTTTTGTACAACAAGGTCAAAATACCTGCATATACAATGGATAAAAAATGAAACAAAAAGTGGTTACAGAAATCTTAGAATTTCCGGTGAGGTGTGTTACAAAAATCAATTTTTTAGGCAGAAAAACGTTCCGCAAATGTTTTCTGTCAATGGATTTTCATTCTGGACAGTATAAAGAACACTTTTAAGCAAAAAAAATCGCTTTTTTTTTCATTTCAAAGGTGGCTTAAGTAACCCCCCCCTTTTTTAACTTTCGAACAGATTGAGATATCAATATGAACAGGTATAGGAACTATTGGCAATATATTCTGCCATAAATTTTTTTAATCATTTCCTACACGAAAACAATTTTACAGTTTTCACCAACCACAAACCTATAACTATGGCAATATTTTCATCAACAGAAAAAACACTAAGACAAACCAGCTATAGTAGAAACCACGAGAGCTGGCAGTGACAGATCGCTTAAAAATGGTATGAATCAAGATATGGACGTACGACTTAGATTATTTCACCACATACATTTAAATGTAGGTTATGTTNTTTAATTTCTTTTAGTAAATTCTTTTCCATTGTTAAGAATTAGAATTAGTTTAACCTCCGACTTGTTAAGATCGTTATAATAAATAAAGTTAATTTTTAAAAAGAAACTCTTGCGGTGTTATTAGAAAACTCGTAAATGTTTTCTGTCAATGGATTCTCATTCTGGACAGTATAAAGAACACTTTTAAGCAAAAAAAAAATCGATATTTTTTCATTTCAAAGGTGGCATACCCCCTTAAATAACCCCCCCTTTTTTAACTTCCGGGAATAGGAACTATTGGCAATATATTCTGCCATAAATTTTTTTAATCATTTCCTACACGGAAACAATTTTACAGTTTTCACCAACCACAAACCTATAACTATGGCAATATTTTCATCAACAGAAAAAACACCAAGACAAACCAGCTACCTAAATTACATAACACAATATACATCCGATGTGAGATACATTAAGGGAAATTCCAATATTGTTGCAGACACTTTGTCCAAGACAAATATTGAATCCCTAAATTCTCAGTACCCCGACACACTTACACTTTACAAAGCTCAACTCACAGATNAACCAGGTACCTAAATTACATAACACAATATACATCCGATGTGAGATACATTAAGGGAAATTCCAATATTGTTGCAGACACTTTGTCCAAGACAAATATTGAATCCCTAAATTCTCAGTACCCCGATACACTAACACTTTACAGAGCTTAACTCACAGATATCGAATTGTCGAACCTATTACATAAATAATTTTCTCACACTCACACTACACCCTATCAGTTATTGCTACAATCCACAACGCTACCTGATATCAAATTTTAGTGTGAAATATCAACGGAATCTCCGCGAATTTACATTCCGCAGCAATTTAGAGAAATAGTTATAGAAAAATTTCATGGTTTATCTCATCCTGGCATACGAGCTACCATTCAGTTAATAAAAACAAAATTCTTTTAGCCTCATATGTCGAAACAAATTCGTATTTGGACAAAATCATGTTTGCAATGCCAGAAAGTAAAAATGCAAAGGCATACAAAATCACCAATTCTCAAAATTAAAGTTCCAAAAGTTCAATTTGAACACATACACATTGATTTGGTTGGTCCACTCGCTCCACCTCTTGGATGTACTTATCTGCTCACTAAGATATCTCTGCAGACTCTATTGCGGATACTCTCTTCAGGCATTACTTCAGCCGTTTCGGTATCCCTACCACAATCACTGACGATTAAGGACGACAATTCGAATCACTATTATTTTCAAAATTACAATTACTTTTAGGTACTTATCAAATACACACATTTGCTTATCACCCACAAACTAACGGTATGATTGAACGATTTCACCGTACTTTGAAATTAGCGATTATTGCTCGAGGTAATTCTACTAGATGGAACAATGACTTTCCCTTGATTCTCCTAGGTCTCAAGTCATCCCTAAAGGAGGATTTAGGTTGCTCATCCGCTGAATTGGTTTATGGTCAGCAATTCAGATTACCAGGAGAATTTTTCATATCTACCGAACCATCAATTGAAACTTAACCATTATTATCAAGTTTAAAATCATCTTTTGCTGGCATTAAACCAGTTCAGTCAACCATACATTCCAGCCAAAAACCTTTTGTACACAAAGAATTATTCAGGTCAAACTTTGTATTTGTTAAAATTACTGGAATTAAAGTCGAAACTTCGAACCAGTTTCTGAGGAAAGTTGCAACATGGCATCCGAAACGTCAAACCTTTTCTTAAACGACACACGGCAAAACCCGAAAGTTTCTAATGTTAGTTCTAGTTTTAGTTCAGGTAAGTACTATATAAATTCTGTAACTGTCATGTGGATAGTTTTGCAGATCTCGGGTATGAATTTTTTGGAACACGAAATAAAAATTCCAAACCATAAGTTTTGTTTTAGCTATTACTGCTTGTCTCATATTCGAATACTTTATAAACTATTCTTAACTACAATTGCTATAAACATTAAGAAGCTAAAGTGTAATACTCGTTGCTAAGTTTCTTTTTTTTTATTACATATTGGATATTGTTCCACATAATAATTTTTTTTATTTATTCAATGTACTCTAAAGTGCTTATAATAGCCTCGTTAATATAATTCCTAATTAATATTCTTATTCTAACTCTAACATTAGCGAAAAATGCTACAATAACATGAATTTTTTTATCTAATTTTAATCGCAATTTTGATTTCCGTGCATTTTTATACAACTTCGATTGCTTTTTATGAATACTTTCAAAAATCAAAGTTAAAGTAGTAATAAAATGCCCAATAAAAAGTAAATAAAAAGCTCCTTGTAACATTTTAATATTAATAGCTTTCAGTTTTAAACTGTTTTCTTTTTTACCGACGCTGTTATCATCATTGAGTTGCAGTTCTTTTTTAAGGTGTGACTCGAAATGTTGTTTCCCCAGCTTTTCATATTCATCTTGAGTTAGTTTTGTTAAAATTCCCGCTTCAAAAACTGCCATTAATCTAAAAAAATAAATAAATTAACTTTTTGATTAACGTTAAGCATTTAAGTTACATTTTATTGAAGTTTTCTATGTAAGGGCAACCGATTTGAAAAGCCATAGCCGAATAAGCAGTGTTTATTTTATCGCTTAAGTGAAAATTGGTGACTCCAAAACGTTGGATGTCGAAAAATAGAGTTTCTCGCCCAGCTATTAAAGCAACATTTAGATTCTGTTTCACCAAACGAACACCTTCTTCAACTGAATCGATTAAATATGATTTTTGATTTTCGTTCATTAATTTCCACAAAGTTCCGTAAATTCCTGAACCATTTTCCAATAAACCAAACGTAGAACTATGTTTTTCTACGTATAGTTGATAATATTCGTTGATCATTGATTCTTTTAATTGAAATAGATTATTTATTGATTTTTCTGTTTTTTTAAATAAAGAAAATCAAAGTTAGAATTTTTAATTGATTAATTAATTAGGTACCTCTTCCTGGTTTTGCTAAAAGTGAAGTTAGATTCGCCGAATACATATCACCGATAACATACGTCCCAGCAAGAGACACCAACACCACAAATAATCTCACTTTTAAACTATTATCGTTTAAACGTTCCGATTGTCCAAGAAATAATCGCACAATAAACCAAAAACTGTCCAAAAATAAGTTATTTTGTGATCGTCTCGATTTTCTAGGTCTGTACCGATTTGGTACTTCAATTAAAACGTACAAAATCACAACACAAACAATTAAAGTAATTATAATAGCTGGCCAAACCTAAAATTATTTTTAATTTTTGTAACTCATCTTTAGTTACAAAAAAAGAAGAGTAGATTTGATTTACTTTCCAATGAAATGGTCTGATAAGCGCTAAAGCTTCGTTTAACATCGCGGGTGCGTGAGTAACGAAAGCCCCGCTGTCAGCTAAAGTAAGAAAAGAGAAATCCGCAACATTAGATCGTTCTAAGGTTAAGGCGACATCGCCAAGTAAAAATTCGTAACTTCGTTTATATATTAAACCTAAAACTCCTTCAAAAGTTCCGTTAGCATTAAATGATGAACCTTGTATTCGATCTGGTGGGTCTTCATATTGAAACCTAAAATGTTAAGAATAAGAATTATTATAACAATTAAAGTGTTATTGTTTAACCTGAAATTCAATTTTTGAGATAATAAATTTAATAATTTATAATCTCGTCCTCCGATAACTTCAATGGAATTATTGTTGTACTTCACAAAATGCCATGGAGGTTTCTAAAATGGTATTTTTTTTTATTTTGAAGTTAAATTTTCAAATAATTACGTGAATAACAGGAACGTTGATTAACTTCTTTTTAAAATCTTTAAAAATCAATTTTTCGTTTGGTAAAGTGGGATGGTTAAATAAGTTTTTATTCTTTGTCCACCAATTAACCATTGATAAATGATGTTTTCTATGCGAAGTAGCTTGGTTGTAATAAATTCGGTATCTATAATATAATAAAAAGTTATTTTACAGGTTAACTTACAATAAGTACGAAGGCTTTCATGGACGGTGTTAATTGACCTATTACTAGAACCACAAACTTTCGGGTTAAGCCGTGCATCTTTTGGAAAAGTGTTTGATGTTTTGGATGCCATGTCGCAACCTTCTTCAGCAACGAATTCGAAGTCTTAATCGATTTTATCGTACTTCTTCAGACACCTTACAATCCGCTCCGTCACACCTGAAATATCAGAGTCACCACAATCAATATAAGAAGGGCACTATGACGATCAGAACGAAAACGGACATCATCGTTCTACCTAGCAGAGAAAGAGAATGCCACCATGATCATAGGCAAGAAAAAATACGACGACAACATGACGTGCCTTTTGGATCCAGTCACCTATAAGAAAATCAAGAAGAACCCAACCGAGAAGATAAAACAAAACTAAAAGAATTGGTGAAATCTACTGAAATTCCAGCAGAGTAGTACCAAGAATTTATGGATTACCTATTGGTAAAATAGAATTGTATGTCAGAATTTTTAAGCATTTTATGGAATCAATCAAAAGTTTGAAGTTAGCTCCATCCTAGAGATCATGGTAAGTTTCAATATGGAATCTCTATTTACCAAAGCAGCAGTCAAAGATGCCGTGGATGGTCTTCGCCAGAACTAATCTAAGAGGGCTTACGGAAGTATGTTCCACGGCTAGTGGAGTACGGATTAATATTCACATATTTTAGCTGGAAGGAAGAATTTTATGAGCAATGCGAAGGGGCAACCTTTGTCACCGATAATCCCCAATATCTATGTGGAGATGTTTAAGGAAGAGGCCTTAAGAAAGAGCCCATGAAAACGAAATCCATGGCATTGTTATGTTGATGATATCTTTTTGATCTCGTGGCAGCATGGAGAAGAACATCACCAGGAATTCCTAGAACACCTGACCTCACAACATCCCATGATCAAATTTACCATGGAAACGGAACTTGTTAAAGGAAGCTTAGGTAACTACCTTTCCTGCATTATTGGTCAGTAGGAAAACAGATAGGGGGCATAGAATTGGGAATGTATCGGAAGAAGACATTTACTAACAGGTATCTACAGGCTTCGTCCCATCACCACCCGCAACAGAAGAGGTCAACTAAGCCCTGTCCCAGCAAGCAGAAAGAATATACGACAAAAAGAATTAAAAAAAAGAAGGATTTCTAGAAGATGTACTCCAGAAGAACGACTACACTCTGAGGGATATCCAGCATGGCTCGCAGCAATGCAAGGAAAGAGAAGACACAGTATATACTGCACCAACCGGGTTATATGCCTTCCTTATGATGCAGGTGTGACGGAGTGCTCTTCCAATAGCTAAAGGCAAACTAGCCCCATTAAAGGGAGTGGGAGTCTATGGGCTATCGTGTAGTTTTTTTTTGAGTGCATGATCGCCTCGACCAGCTTTTCGGCATGCGGGGACCCTGATGTTATTTAACATTCCACATGATTTAAAAATAAAACTGACTCAACAACTATAATTCAGAACCTGCGGTGATAAATCTAAAGTAAGTATGATTCATACAAAAGAAAAAATAATCAATTATCCCAATCTATCACCTAAACAGCACTTAACGATATCTAATTATCCTGTACTTACGTTGTCCTAAATAACCTATACTTATAACTAAACAGCTTAAACTAATTCCCTAACATTATTTGACAAAAGAAACAACATTCCAATTTAACTAATAGCTCCTTAACAAAACTATCCGGAATATTGTAACATACACGTATATACAATATCAGTGCGTAGCTGATCCATGTTCCGTACATCCGCAACATATCGGTGCCTGTCATCCCTTGTTCCCTTCACCCATTCCATCCCTAATTCTATTGATACCAGCTCAGCTTGCATATCCACGATCCATACTCTACGTTCACAAAATACATTTTCACCCGACATTAGTACTATTGCTGGAAAAACTTGCTATAAACTTCTGCACCGCTTTGAACCTACAAAAGGGACAGAAAGGTGCATCCATAAACATTTTCGCAGACAGTCGGGCCGCCCTAAAGGCAATTCAGGCCTATACGTGTGACTCCGCACTGATCAGAAAGTGTACCAACAATCTGAATGATGTTACTCTATGGTGGGTTCCAGGTCGGTAGTTAGTACAGAGACATTGAGGACAATGAGAAGGCGGACAAGCTGGCCAAAGAGGTAGTGAAAACGCCCTTCATTGGACTTCAACCCGGTTGTGGACTACAAAAAGCCACATAAAACAAGTAACCTGGAAAGAACATCCAGGTCACAGACAAGCGAAGAGTATGATAACTCCGTCGCAAAACGAAACCAAAGAGGTTTTATGCTCATCAAAGGGGATCTAAGGGCGCTCTCAGGTTTCCTGACCGGCCATGCGCCCCTAAAATACCACCTCTTCCACATTGGACAAGCTAAGGATCAAACTTGTCGACTTTGCAACGACGAGTCAGAAACGGCCGAACATATACTGTGTAATTGCGTTGTCAGAGGCTGCCTAAGACACAAAATTTTCGGTAAAGCTCTTTTGACACCTACCGACATAAATGAACAAGACCTAAGGACAGTAAGGTTCATTAAGGACCTACATTTGCCCTAAACTTTTGGAGGGTTGAAGTTACAATAGATCTTATAGGACGCGGAGACGAGAGGGACCGCTCCCCTCAGCCCGCCAGCAATAATAATAATAATAACACCATTCGCTCTCCATGCATCTCCTCTCTCATTCTCCCTCCTTTAACTATAGCCACTTCCCACCCATGACTGCAGTGACCAGATGACCATCCCGGACACTATTTGTAGAGCGTCCGTGAACGCCATCCCGTAGGCTCCCACCCCTCATAATAGGAAAGGTCATCACGGCTATCTTACATCTCACAAATTTCATAAGCTCTACGAACAGAAAACCTGAGTCGATGACAACACCTAGTATTTCAGTGAGGTGACCATTTATCCTTCATTTGCTCAATATTCTTCGCCAGCAGATCCGAGATATGTATGACCTAGGCATCATCATACTCCTTGTGGTGTTATCTAGTTTTATTATTATACCTTTTAGATCTAGTTATTATTTTAATATTCTGTAATCTGTTTCCATAGATTATTATTATCATTTATATAAATAAAAATGTAGCATCAAAAATATCAGATCTAAAATATCAAATTTAAAATGTAGTCAATTTTTATTATTAATAGTGGTTAAAGCTATTATATACTATTATACTCCTATACCAGGCCAACCCCGTCGTCCAGTGCTGTTCTGACTCTCTTAAACCAGTCGTTCAACCGTACAACCGTACAACCACAATACCAGCCCCAAGTTGGATCCCTGCAGACATCCCCTGCTTCTTCAGTATTCTGCACCGTCAGTACACACATCAAGTAGCCGGGATAATCCATTCTCTCCAAGGTCCTCATCTATTGCCACTACCGCATTATGTCTACCGCACGTCTAACCTTCCCTCATATTTTTTCTTATTATCCCGCCCAATGCTTGTCCCCTTCCTCTCATGAACTCATACTGTCTTCATGCAACCCATTCACTTTCTCCATGGATGATAAAATTCTACCACCCTGTCGAAAGTCTTCCCTATGGAGGAAGCCAAACTAATTGGTGTGACCCCGCCCTTTGGTTCGGAAGCCCCACAACCCTCAGGCACGCCTTAATTGCTCCTTTCCATTCGCACTTAAAAATCTTCCATGACTTCTTATTGCGATTGTTTTGATTCTATCGCAGCTCGTCAACTTTCCCTCGTCCATGATTGATATAATACCCTCCAATTCTTTATCTCTAACCTTCTCCACCATCCATTCATCATGTCGGTACCACTCCATCATCCGTTCCACTTTGCGCCTTGTATCACGGTATCCTCCTCCGCCTATTCTCCAGGAAGTATTTCCGGTATAGGTCACCTATCGACTGCTCCTGGCTCTTAAACCTCGAGCGAGCATGAACAGGGGCCATGCTTGGTCGCCATCAATACTTTCTTTCTACCTCTTACTCTCTACACCTCCTTCCATCCTTTATCTTTCACTCTCTCCTCTAACTTTTCTATATTCTTTTTCTTTGCCCAAACAATTTCTCGTTTATATTCCTGCCTAGCCTCTATGTAACGTTGTTTCTGATTCTCCACATCCTATTCATACTTCCACACGCCCTTCTGTTCTTTTATCCTTTCTCTACTCAACCTTTGTCTCCTGTTCTGCAGTTCACCATACTATTTAATACGCATGCTTCCGCCTTCTCCTTAACACTTTCTCACAAGCATACCTTATCCCCTCACTCCACCGTTTCCCTGTCTCTACACCTCTAATCTCCTCCCGTACACATGACCTCCTGACGTATTCTTCTAACACCTTAATCATGCAGTTATTATTTTGGCCATACTGGATGTAATATCGAGTGTTACATCAAGGACCATAAGAAGGATATCCGACTAAATAAGATAAATCGATCCCGCGTCGGCAGTTACAGAGTATTGGCAGAAAAAGACCCACACCATAGATATTGACAAGGCCAAAGTGCTAGCCAGAACTGGAAATTATTTCCAAAGAATCACAAGAGGGGGGGGTCTAGGAACTATGTAAATAGAGAAGACGGCTGGGAGCTTACCCGCACATGCAAAATGCTAGTTAACTTACCAAAGTCTTCTCAAACTGGATTAGACAAAAATGGCTTAACCCGAAAGTTTCCAGTTCTAAGTCTACTGTTAGTTCTAGATTTAATTTAATTAACTTGTAATAACTTACGTATTTAAACGAGGATTTGTTATTAAAACAACTTTCATAGCTTCATGAATATTTCTTAAGAAGTAACGTTGAAAATCTTCGTTCCCCCAATAAAAAATGTAAATTAAATTTCTGCGGATGCAATTTGTTTCTCGAATCTAAATTTAATCGGATTAAATTTTATTTTTGTTGGTTTTTGTACAAACCTCAATTAAAATATGTTCGGCTAATTTTTTATTAACAAAAAACAAATTGTAAAGTTTCATGTGGTTCTTATAAATTATTGATAAATAATTAAAATACTGATCTAAATTACGCACAGTGGACACGTTAAAATGACAAATTGATATGTCCTTTTTTGTGAAGCTTTGTGTAAGTTGTATTAAAAAATAAGAATCTAAAAAAATTAAATTTTATATTTACATTTTATCTTTAGAAATTTACTTACCCATTGTATTATCATATATAATCGTTATTTCACTTGTTGGAAACCCTCTTGTAATATCAACTAAGGCTACGTTTAATTCACCACCGTACGTAATTTCATAATCATTGTTCAATTGAAACCATTCGGTGTAGCTCTTTAAACCTAAAGATGCTTTTAAAATTAAAATTAAACCAAGTAAACTAAAATACAAAATAAATTTTCTCATGTTTTTGAGTAGTAAAGATAATTCGATTCGCTAAACGTTGATTCAAATGTGTTACTTTCAGATTCTTTTGAAATTCAATAGTCAATGTAATGTCAATAGATTTGAAAAGGTTAAACTCCAGTTTGATTGAAGGGTGGAAATCATATTATTTCTTGATGTGATATTCGATAATACACACAGATGAAATAGAACAAGTCACACAACTCTTTTTAATTTATAATCTTCTACTGATGAAATTGTTAGTTAATATTGTACCATTTAATATTTTTAGAGGTAACAAAAGTTTTTGTAAGGGTTGGTATTAAATATAGTACGTCTCTTTATTTACATGTTTCGCCTGTCCTTTTCAGGCATCTTCAGAATAACTACAAAAAATTGAATTTATATTAATTTAAGCATGTTAGATTACAGAATAGCATTATAGTAAATTAAATCTTAATAAAATGTTACAGACAGGGTTGGATTAACCAGTAGGCGCTTGAGGTGTGCGCCTCAGGGCCCTCCACCTACAGGGGCCCGGTTCTGGTTTGATATTGCATAGGCATATAATATACATATTTGCGGATCCTCCTGTGGTGGTTAGTAAGTAACATAACTAGGCAGAATACTATTAATGAAATCCTTGCATCTAGCAACGTGCTTTCCTTTTCATTGAGCTTGGTTACAGATGCTGAGTTGCGGAATGCTTTAACTTACTCCAAGTCCACTAGTGTCGGAGCAGATGGTATTGGATTCAGATTCCTCTTACCCACTCCGTCTCATGTTGGTGACTTTCGACCCATTTCTATTCTATCTACGTTGTTACAAGCTATTGAACATTTAGCTTATTTGCAGATTCAGAAATATCTTGAGGAGTTTAATCTGATTAACAAGTTCTAGTCTGGTTTTGTGAAGGGCATGGTACTACTATAGCACTGATTAAGATCACCGATGATATTAGATCTGCGTGTAATAACCGTTGTGTTACCTTGCTAGTGTTACTTGATTTTAGTAAGGCCTTTGATTTTGTGGACCATGCCCTCCTGTTAACTAGGCTTTCTGCTATTGGTTTTACCTCTTCTTGTGTATCTTAGTTCCAGTCCTATCTTTCCTATCGGTCTTTACGTGTCCGCGTGGAATCTGTACTCTCTTCTCCTGTTGTCATCAAATGTGGAGTTCCCCAGGGCAGTGTGCTGGGTCCTTTGCTCTTCTTGTTAGGGATATTTTGTGTGCGGGAGATTTTGGGTTGGTAGTGCAGAGCGTGGGGGGGGGCAGTGGAGTGATTCCCGCGTTCGAAATATTCCGAGACGTTAGATAAAATGAACAGGTTTGAAGAAGATCGAGAGAGTCGAACATGAGAGTTGGTGCGTGGCAGATGTAGAAAAACGTGTATCGCGAGTAAAAGAGAAAAGCTGGACTAAACGGGCGTGTTTTGAGAAATACAAATGCAAAACTAAATTACATTAATATTTTGTTTGAAGATTCAATAAAGTTGTTATTTAGATAAATTTACGTAAGTGTATTTACTTTATTCTCAATTTTCATAAATAGTATTAGTGATGGTATCTCGTGTAATTATCATTTGTATGCAGATGACCTTCAACTTTATATTTCGTCAACTGTTAACAACCTCCCAGATGCGTTGTTGCATCTTAACAACGATCTCTCTAGTGTGCTTGACTGGTCAAGACGTCATGGACTTAACCTGAATTCAGGTAAACGCACGCCATTGCATTTGGCACTCGCCCCTTGCTGGCACAATTTAATTCCTTAACTACTCTTCAACTGAGGCTTGGCGACACCATCATTCCGTTTTCTTATACGGTCAAAAATGTTGGTGTGGTAATGGATTCGGCGATGTCTTGGCGGCCACAAGTTCAGGGAGTCTGTAAGAGGGTTTACTTCTGTGTCCATACTTTGAAAAAACTTCGCTGCTACCTTCCTCCTGTTGTACGTCGTAATCTTTGTTATTCTCTGATTTTCCCACACATTGATTATGCCGATGCTGCGTGTCTTCATTTGTCCGCAGCCCTTCAGGGTAAATTGGAAAGACTTCAGAACAATTGTATGCGATACATTTTTGATTTAGGATTTAATTTAATTAATTTACAGATGATGACTTTCCGTAGTCGTAGATCATTTCGTATGCTTACTATGTCGTACAAAATTGTCCATTCTCGCACTCCTGCTTATTTGTCCGATGCTTTAGCATCACATGATTTGCCCACTCGATCAATGTCGGATTCTAGACTCATGTTTCCAGTCCATAGTACTGAAATCTACCACAGATTTTTTATAGTGCAGTCGATTGAGTTGTGGAACGATTTACGTTGTTCGCAATGCAGCTAGTTTAATAAGTTTTAAAAATGCCTTAAGGCGCCATCTGCTATCTCTTCAACTATCTTCTTCTTGATCTATACGTGTTTGTTTTCTTCTCTAGTCTACCTATCATCTATCTTTTACCGCATTTTTTTTGTGTCTATTTTCTTCCTTGCAGTAACTGACTGTCGATCCGTTACATAACTCAAATATGCTCATTTGATCAGTCCTATTAGCACATCATTTAGTATTACTTTTTTGGTAGCCATAATTATTTATTTAAAATTACATGTACACTGTTACCAGTTGGGTCTCTTGGAAGATATCGCTTACTGCAATAAATTGATCCGTTTGCCTTGATGTCTATTATTTGTTATGAATGTATATAAATATTTATGTAAATAACTGTTTTTGAGGTAATAAACATTATTATTATACATAATACTTAAATGGTAATATTAGACTTTTTTTGGGGCCCAAAAATATAGAGCGCCTCGGGCCCACAAAAACATAATTTTTTTTGAACAACGGAAACTATCATAATCTTCAATTAATGGTAAGTTCCACATCATTCCACAAGTTCCATATTCGATGTTGTGCCATTGTTCCATCTTCCATGTTGTTTGATGAATTCCACAAATTCTTAAATAGACAACATCAAAAATTCTACAGCCCTCCAACCTATAAATTCAGAATGTAAAACTTACAGAGCCATCCCGTACCCAGGAAAAATGGCCTATACTTAGTGATGTAAAGGGTAATATTACCGAGGAAATGTTACCGGTAATTTTGGTAATATTACGTAATATTACCGCAAGATCGGTAACATTGGAAATATTGTTTTTTTTTCGCTCTATACTCTCATTTATGTGCCCAGCTGTACATGGCGTTACTGGCGCCGCGCGGCCGCACATATCGATCGGGGAATACCCGAAACACAGAATAATACAGAAACGACAGCGCTGTCGGCTTCTTTGATGTTGGAGGTGTACAGATTCGCCATCTTGTTGGTAGTTAACAAAGCAAATGATTTGGCGCCTTTTTTTTTAGTTCTTTTGCAGCTGATTTACAGACACGGAAACTAAAACTGTATTTTAGGTGGTAAATCATGTATTATTTACAATACTTAACTTAATATTATTTACATTATAACTACGTTTGTTTTGTTTTAACATTAATGATCTCGCTAATATAACTACCATCAAGATGGCGGCCGAGTTTCACATTTAAAGGGCAGTTTCGTTTCTGTATTATTCTGTGCCCGAAATCTAACTTGTGACAATTCCATGGTTCCCCGTGGCCCGTGGCAAGCGGCAAGCGATATTTTGTAAACAATCAACAAATGGTGTTGTTTATAACTATCAGTGCGATTCCTATTAAATAACTGTAATTGTTTTGCCTTGTTATGTGATATTTGAACTGGTAAGTCTAGATATTTTTAAGTTGAGCTCTTCCCGAAATGCATGATGTTTATTTTGTAGTGGCGATAATATGGTTAAGCCGAAGAGTGATGTTTGGAGGTACTACGATCTTAAAGATAAAGACAACTATTTCTGTAAATATTGTAAAACCTCCTTTAAAAGAAATGCTACCAGACAATTCCAACATTTGCTAAAATGTGTCAAAATACCTGAAAATGTAGTACAAATTCTTAAAAAAGGGAAATTACCTATAATAAATGTTTCCAGTAGTAACAATAACACCATGCCAAGTTCAACCGAGGTATTAGAAGATAGTGATGCTGATGATACTGATACTACCTCTCAGCAGGGGCAGGGAGAATCTTTAGACTCAGAAATTGCTTCACTAGTCAGGCCTGTGCCTTCATCAGCTAGTTCTTCATTTTCAAGTACTACTAAAGCATCAAAGGGTACAATTTCTACGTATTTTGATAACATGTCCTCTCAAGAAAACAATAAGATTGATGAACTACTCGCAAGGGCTATTTATGTCTAAAGAGCCCCCTTAGATATGACAACGAAAAAAGTGTGGTTAGATGTATTCAAAGCAATGAGATGCGCATATAAACCACCCTCTCGTTACCAGTTGTCAAATCCACTCCTCGAATCCGAGTACACTAGAGTAAAAGCTGCAGTTTCTTCAAAAATTAGTGAAGCACCTATCTTAAGCCTGCAAATGGATGGATGGTCAAATTGCAGAAATGACTCTATATCTAATTTTGTTATTAATACACCTCTTCCGGTATTTTACAAATCAATACACACCGAAAATAACAGACATTTAGCAACATTTTTGGCCTCAGAAATTGAAAAAGTGTTGAAAGAATTAGGAGTTTGAAATTTTCTAGCTATTGTCACTGACAACGGAGCTAACATAAAAAAGGCTCGTGAAATAGTTAGCAGCAAGTACGATTACATTACTAATTATGGTTGTATTTGCCACGGTCTAAACCTTCTGCTTGAAGACTTCTTGAAATTAGACCATTTTTCCAATTTTAAAAAGAACATAATTTCAATTGTATCTGAGCTGAAAAATTCGCAGATTTTACATGCAACGTTTGAAAAAATCCAGTTGAACAAAACGGGGCGATACATCTCTTTAAAATTGCCGGTGAAAACAAGATGGGATTCCTTTGTTTGTTGTCTAAAAAGCTTTTTGGACACTAAACATTCATTAAAAAGTTTAGCAGTTG